CCTCCCCCCTCAGGCCCCCCGCTCGGCCACAGATGCACCGAGCAGCTTTCGGAGCCTGCTACACACCCTCTGTCTAGGGATATAAATAGATCCAGAGTGAAATTTAAATGTGTTGCGTTCATAATACGAAGAATTATTGCCCAAAGGAAACCATCCAAACCATATCAGAAATGTCAATGTCGCAGGAAATTTTCAACGTCTTTATAAGATGTAAAATAATTTTGCCATTTTTTAAAATTGCACTTTGTTTTTCGTTTTTCTAACAATTTTCACGATCGGAAGCTCAGCACCTATGGACACGGACGGGAAGACGGCTTCCTCGGCGAGGAGATCCGAACTCGCGGCCCGCGCCCCACCTACACAGCAGACTGGCTGCCGTGCCAGGGCCGGTCAGTGGCAGCGCGGCGGGGCGGGGCGGGGCGAGGCGAGGCGCGGCGACCGCGGCGACAGGCCGGGACACTGACCTTGGTCACCTCAGGAGGGCGTCACCCGGACCGTGTTGGGTTAGGACCCGCTGCACACACCACACCGTGCATTTTATTGAAACCCACAAAATAAGAGGTCCCCATCGAACTTACTCATTTTGATCGTGCTCCTTCTTAATGTGAAGAAAAAGAGGCTCCTATACCTCGCGCGACAACACGTTCTTTTGAGACGAGCGGCCCGTTTCCCATTTAGGGTTGTCTCTCTGTACCGAACAACATCTCACACAACCACTCCTACATCGCCAGGCCAGGCCGGGTAGAGGTGGAGGCGGACACGTACCTGGCGGGGGGTGGGGCACGCGGCGCACCTGCTGGCGGGACGTCACCTCGCTGACGACGTGCTCGGTGTAGCGCAGGCCGCGGCGCGGCGCCCCGGGCAGCACCGCCATCTCCTCCAAGCGCGAGTCGATGATGCTTTTCGGTGGCGAGACGCTCGCACCACGAAACACGAACGAATGGCTGATTGCAATATGAACTTCTGTATCCGCGGCACAAGGTGGCACAAGCTGCTGCTGGTGGTGACGGAGGTGGCTCTCGACTGGATGCGAACAAACGGCAGGCCGGGCCGGGCGGGCGGGGCGCCACCGCGCTGTGGAGGGGACGACGCGTGGGTAACGACCGGGACGGCGTGGGCGTCAGGGCCCGTCAGGGGCGTCCAGCCGGCCACCACCAGCCTCTCGCGCTCGGCACGTCCTCGGCGGGAGCGGTAAGTACCCGCGCCGCGAACTGCTCATGCTCACCGCGGCCGCGCCCTATGCTGTACTGTCATCTCAAAGGGAATTTTTTTCTCTGTTAGAAAAAGGACGTCAACGTCAGCGACAGACACACGGTCCCCACCGAAATCTAAACGCTTTGCAAACTAGTGCGAACTACATCGTACAGTTCACGACGTGGCTCTTTTGAGCCTTCTCCATAGAACCACCAAGCCGGCTTGACACTTCCCTCCCCAAGAGTGTGAAGTGTAAGCGGACACTTGGTCTGGATGGTGCGTCACGGGCCTCGACTCTGGAGCGAGTGATTCGGCCGGAAATACTCTAACTCTTAGTCTTGTGTGAAACTGCAGGTAAAACGGGTTTACGACTCCATCCCGAGAGGAGCTTCAAATGGCTCGATTGCCAGCAGGACACCCGAATCACTTCTAACCAGGAGCAAATACGAGTGTATTGCCGATAAAATACAAATTGTCGAACACAACAACATAACAAAACAATGGCGGTAGGGGCCTCACAAAAATAATCTTACGCTTAATTCCTTAAAATTGTAACGATGCAAAAGTTAACTTAAACAATTCGTCCTTCTTCCACAAATCAAAAGTCATTTTGGGGGAGGGGGGACACTCCGCGGGCCTGGCAACTACAGGAGCCCCATCTCCAGGTCCCAGTTGTTGACGGCCACCAGCTCCTGCAGCTCGCACATCTGCTGCTGGCTCACGGCCCACTCGTTGAGGTCGAAGAGCGCCCGGAGCTTGGGGCAGCCCAGCAGGAGCGAGTACACCGAGTCCATGGTGAGCTCGCAGGGGCAGGCGAGGCTGAAGCTCGCCAGCTCGGCGAGGGGGTTCACGTCCAGGATGCGGCGCAGCGTCGCGTCGGTCCAGGCGGGCGCGGCCTCCTCGGGCAGGCCGGGCGTCACGGACACCCTCCGCAGCTGCAGCGCGTGCAGCAGCACGTACTCGAGGACGGGGCCCGCGCCCGAGTACAGGTGGAACTCCTCCAGCCGGCGGAAGGGGGCGTCGCGCGGCGGGTGCACCGGCACGGCGAGGCTCTCGTCGGCGCGCAGCGAGGCGAGCTTGAGCACGCGCACGGCGGGGCACTGGCGGCCCAGCTCCACGGCGTGCGCCAGCCCCACGGCGTGGTCCATCATGTCCACGTGCGTGAGCCCGGCGCCGAGGCGCAGCGGCACCCGGGCCGCGTGGTCGCGCAGCCCCGCCCAGCACACGCGCAGCCGCTCCACGCCGGCGGGCAGCGCGGCCGCGTCCTGGTCCGGGACCACCGTCACGTCGCTCAGGGACACGGCCTTGGGGAGGGGGACAGGCGCAGGCCGGGGCAGGGGTCAGGGGGAGGGATTTTGGAATCCGAAATTTTCCCAGAAAATTTTGCTACTTTTCCAGAAAAAAAAAAGTGAAATTCCCCAGAAAATCGTAAGAAATTTAAAAATTAAATCTTCAAAAAAATATCCCAGAAATACTGTTTAGGACAATCGAAGTCCAGTCAGGAGCGTACCTTGATGCGCGGGCAGAGGGACAGGTCGGCGTCTTCCGGGAGGTGGTCGCTGTCCCAGTCGAGGAGGGTGACCTCGGAGCCGACGGCCCGCAGGACGGCGCCGAGGCGCGGGCAGCGGCCGACGCGCTGCAGCAGCGGCAGCTTGGCCAGCAGCGTGTGGTAGCCGCGCTCCGACACCCGGCAGCCCGTGAGCAGCACGACGCGCAGCGCGGGGCAGCCCGCCGCCAGCGCGGACGCGCCGCGGTCCGTGACGCGCGCCGACTCGGAGGCGTCCACCACCTCGAGCAGCGGGCAGTGCGCGGCCAGGGCGCACAGCATGGCGTCCGAGCAGAGCCAGGGCGCGCGCAGCACGGTGAGCAGGGGCAGCGCGCACAGCGCGGCCACCACGGCGTCGGCGCTCGTGTGCACGTGCAGGGTCTCGCTGAGCGTGAGCTCGCGCAGCAGGGGCAGGGCCTGGAGGGGCCGGGCGGTGAGGTGCGGGCGGCGAGCGGGCTTGGGGGGCGTCGCAGCGCCGCGCACCCACTCACCTGGACGCGGCGGAGCAGCGCCTCCCGCAGCGGGTAGCTCTCGGCGACGGGCAGAGCGAGGCGGCGCGTGCCGGGCGGCAGCAGGGCGGCGAGGAGCTTGTCCAGGACGCGGCGCGCCGGGTGGTTGTTGCGGTAGCTCAGGAACACGTCGGCGCACCGCAGCGCCGCGGACACCACCTCGGGCCGCATGCCCTCGGGCACCGCGCTCACGACCTCCGACAGCAGCCCCAGGCGCGCCTCGTGGCGCTGGGCGCTCGTGGTCATCACCACGCGGACCTGCGGGTCACGGGGGGTCACACACACACACACTCCCCCGGTACACATCACGTGACCGTCGTGCTCCTACCTGGTACGTGAGCGAGCCGGTGACTGCGCGCAGGGCAGCCACTTTCAGGGACGGGGGCTGCTTCCTCGGCGGCATCCTGGTGACCTGCGAAGCTCCTGCGTCCTCTACGTGCTGCTCGGTCGCACGTCAGCGGCCCATGTCCTGCTGTGCGACTCGTGTTGGTTGAGGCGCCACCGTTTCTGTCGGACCATTGTTGCACCCGGCGTGTCGTAGGCCGGGTTTGGTTTTGTTGTTGTTTGTTTGTTTTTCATTGGACATTTGGGCAAGCATCCGACATGGCGACAGGACTCCTTGACAGGTGGTCGGGTCGTCTGCACAGAGAAACAAAAACAACCATACAGTGCAGCCAGCCTAGGAGAGGCGAGTCGCCATCGCGAAGTGACGCGTACCTGGTCATTCCCGGGATTGAGAGGGACAAATTTCAACGGGTCAGGATGAAAACATCTCATTGAAAATATAGCTGTATTTTCTTTTGAGATAAATGGTTTTGAAAGAAACGAAACTTGAAGGAAAGTTTGTGCGTACTGAATTTGGCCACACTTCAATAATTTTTCCACAAGATGGCGACCCCGTGGACCAAGGATTCCCTGCTTGAGGCGATTAAAACGAATCCTGACTTCTGTGTAAATTGTCCCACCCTTGCTCAAGGTCAGTAATGTGATTAAATACTTCCCCCCTCCACTAGTCACTCGAAAAACGCGATTTTCTGTCATTTGATCGTCGAACGTCGGCATACCAATCGTAGGCCCTAACCTATGCCAAGGCGAATAGCATGTAGTCCGATTCAAGTCCGCCGAAACTCCATACATTCATAAAGTATTTCAAGATCAGCATGACACGTTGTCACGTCGTCAAATTCAGGTCATTTTCTATCCTCTTTGCGTTTGTACTCACTTGGGAGCGTGAACGATAGCGCCCAACACCTTTGAAAAACAACAACAACATTGCTCTTGTTAGGCACATGTTTGGCAGTTATACAGTGACATTTCAAAGATTAACGATTGATTCTGCTCTTTTTCAGATATCTCTGAGCAGCGGTTAAATCTCCTCACTTTAGTTGAGCACCTGAAAGATGTACTTACTGATCCAGAGCCTTCACAAAGGGCAGTTGGCACTTTGGTCTTGGCTACTGTTTTGCGAGACCTTCCAAAAGATTTTGTACGTGAAAATGAGTTGAAGTTCATCACAGCTTTCTTCTGTGATCGTCTGAAGGACCATCATGATGTTATACCTGCCGCACTGAAAGGAATCTTATCAATTGTAAGTTATGTGTTTTTGTTATTTTCCTCTGACTTTCTTACAATTGTTTTGTTGATTGTTAAACTTAATTTTTTTTTTCCAGTTGCAAATGAAAAATACAGCAAAAGAATCACCAGCTGAAATTCTGAGGTCATTGGTGCTGAACCTGAACTGTCAGGGACAACGCCATGAAGACAGATTAGTCATCTACCGAATTCTGGATCTACTAGTTCTTCCTCATCTTAGCAGTATGTTGTATTTTCTCTCAATGTCCTTAATCTCTTTTTCCTTATCACATTTTTTCGTTCTCAGCTTGTCAGAATGCAATTGTAATAATATGAATCATTGTTTCAGGTTTACAAGATCTTGGTCCAGATTTAGTGTACCACATTATGACTGCTGTAGAAGGAGAACGTGATCCTCGCAATCTTGTATTCTTATTTTCTATGCTGCCTTCAATCATAAAATCTCTGTCTCTTGGTCATTTGACTGAAGACTTTTTTGAAATCATGGCATGCTATTTCCCTGTGGACTTTAATCCTGTAAGTTCTTTTCATTTAATATTATCTTGCTGTATGTTATTGAAGCCCAATTTTCAACATTTTTAAACTTGTTCTCCTCAGAGTGCAGAACAACGGTCTCAAATTACTAGAGAACAACTAGCAACAGGTCTGGCCTGTGTACTTACAGCAATCCCAAGTTTTGCAGATTTCGCAATTCCATTAGCACTTGAAAAGTTAGATTCTCCTATTCGATTGGCCAAGATGGACTCTTTACACCTGCTTGTAAGACATCAATTCTGATTTTAGAACAATATTTTCTTGTGTACTTATGATAACAGAGCAAATTTGCTTTTAGATAAAAGGATTTGATGAGTTTCCTCCTGAGAAAGTGGCAGTTCATATCTCACCAATTTGGGAGAGTTTAAGCCGAGAAGCTTTGTCTGGTTCAGACTATGAAGTTAGAGAGTCTTCTAGGAGAGCTGTTACTCACCTTCTACGGTGCCTGTCTGAATCATCCACTGTTAATGAAGGAAAGTCAAACCCAATGAGACAGTTGCTGAGTGATGTTGTTGCTGCGTCAACCTCCTGCCTGTCTGAGATTCAAACCACCCTCTTCATGCCAGCTGCTGACCTCCTCCTTGCTGCTGCCAAAAGTGCTCCACCTGCTTGTGAATACATCCTTACAAAGGTTTGTTTACTGCAGAATTTTGTGAACAGAAATTTTTAAAACAAATATTACAATCATTGTCATTTTTTTGCAGGTTTTACCATCAGTTGTTGATTTTTTCCACACCAAAAATGATGCAGCAGATAGATCCATATATTTGCGTATCATTTCAAGATTTCTTACAGTGTGCAAGTCTTTTGAAGTAACACCATTAAGTAAGCAATCCCAAAGTGTTATTATTGTTAAAATATTTTTACTTAAAATTTTTAAAGGACTCATGTATTTATTAATCTTTTTTTCCTATTTGTCAGATAACCAAGAGATTACTCCTCAATGGAATTTACTCCTTCAGTTGTACTTAAGTTCTGCAGAGCATGAATCAAATTTGGAACTAAAAGAGGCTTTGTTTGGACTGACCACTTTAACCCCCACTTTGAATTCAAGTGAACGTGAAAGACTGTACAATTTACTTAGCACATTTGTTGATAGAGATTGCTCCACCGAAGTGAGGTATGTTTGTAGAAATTTCTATTTGATGACTTCGAACATTACTAGATGCCTAGAGCTAATGATATTATTTTTGTTTCTCAGAGAACAGTGCAGACTCTGCCTGTGTGAGATTGGTATCCATTTTCCCAATGAAGTATTTGAATGTATTCTACCTGAAAAACTAAATTTGTTGGGTAAGTAAAAGAATAATTCAATAAAGGGACTTAGGTTGTTTTAGTTAACCTCTGAAAACTCTATAGCTTAAAGCTATTATGTAAATCAGTTAACTTTTATTACAACATTCAGAGTGTGATGGAGCAAATTCCAAATTTGATCGACGGATGCAGGCTCAATGTTGGTTAGCAGCACTACCACCATTCACCCAAAGAGTTCTTCCCAGCGTCATTAAAATTATTCTTGAATCCAAGCATCTTCACCAAATACAAGCCTCTCTGTCAGCTCTCAGGTAATGTGATTTCTTTTGCTATTTTTGTGTTTTGTACTGCTTCTAAATCAATCATCTAAACTTTTTTTTTTTTGTCATTAGGAAACTGGTTCAAGACATTCCTGAAAATGCAGGTCCAAATCATCATGTCTTTGTAAGTTTAAATGAGAGCTGTAGCAATGCAGTAGCCCGTCTGACTAGTTGGTGGAGAGAGAGTGTTGAAAATGCAGGAGAATGTGCCTGGGTAACTAATGAGACTATCTGTAATGATGTTTGTTTCATCATCAGTAATGTAACACGACACAGTAGTCCTCAGTAAGTTCACAGACATTCTTACAACAGTGACCTATGATAGTAGACTGCTGTATTATTATATTCCTAAACCATTTTTTTCTAGGGACCAAGAGCTTGTTGTACAGCACACATTACCACTATTGCATTCAGTATGTGCCACATTTGACCCATCCTCTCAGAAGCATCATCAGGAAGTGGTAAGATTCAATCACTTCAGAAAATTGATATACAGGTACATGGGTAATCTAGTGAAACTTAGAATTGATTTTGTTCATTTTTGGGTATTGCAGATAAACACATTTGAAGCAGTGTTTGGCTGTTTACACTGTCATATTCCTCTACCAGAGGTTCGATCTCTATGTTGTTTACTTTATAAAATTTCTGTGGGGACTCCATTCAACAGTGTCCATACATCATCTAGTCGACTCTGTGCCAGTTTTGTCAACAAAATGCCCATTGGTATTTCTTAATTCTTGGTTTGGTGTGTTATTGGTAATCAAAGCAAAGCATGTTATTTAAAAACTCAAATATTTACAGCTTCTTTGGAAGATACCCTTTCCGACTTAGATACTCTTTTACAATCCTCATGTACACAAGGCTCTGTTCAAGAAGTTGGCCTATCAGCTTCTTTTTGTGGGTGGATTGTGAAGGGCTTGTCAATGCGTGGCTATACTAAGCTGGAAATGTGGATTGACAAGGTATAATAGTGCTTTAAAACTGTTCACATCTTGTTGATAGTGTGGATGTATACTGAATTTTTCTGGTTTAAAATTCAATTCAGCTAATCAAGTATGTTGGAGCTGATGACAAACATATTGCAATGATGGCAGCTCAGTGCTTCAGAGTCATCATGGATGACAGTCCTATTTATTTGAATGAGGGAAGCCACTGTACAGTGAGGTATAAAGTACTTTAACATTACCATTGAGGTCTCGAATAGTTTTTGTTTTGTTTCGCCTTGAAGTCATCCAATGATTGATGTTATTTTTCTTTTCATTGCTAATGAAGACTACTGCACAAGCAAAGGGTGTTTCTTTGTGCATTGAAGATAGTCAACAAATCAAAGGAAATCCAAACTGAGCAGCGCTATCCCTACTTATTGGCTGTTATTAATCTATTAGCGGGTGTGTCTCAAAGTGTCTTGTCAAGCAATATTGGAGAGGTTTGTGTCATGTTAAATCTTACTAATCCTACTTTTTTAATAATGTATTGCAATGTTTGCAAGTATTAATTATTTTATTTTGATTGCTTTATCAGGTGTTGCCATTAGTGCTTGAATCATTATCCCAAGATTCACCTTTCTTGATTGATACAGCATTGTCCACTCTTAATGATCTCTTGACTCAGCCAGCATTTTATGATTCATTAAATGATCATATTCAAAGTATTATTCCACGCCTGTTACCCTTGACCATACATGCTGATTCAATGACCATAAGACAAGTTGCTATTCGCTGTCTGTATAATGTTGCTAATTTGAAGACGGAACTCTTGCTGCCATTCAGAGTTGAGGTAATCAGAAAAGTATTGGAACTTTTCTTAAACCAAATTATTTTTATCTTAATTTGCATGTTCTAATTTCTTTCTGTTCAATCAATATTCCTAGGTTCTCGCGCAATTAACATTGTGTGTAGGTGATTCGAAGAGAGGTGTTCGTCAAGATGCTGTTGCAGCCCGGTCACAGTGGCTTTCTGTCTTCTGGTCTGTTCAGGGGAAAAAATAGAATTAGAAAACCACCTACTATAGCTGGACTAAAGTTTACAGTGAGATATTTCATTCCAGTGTAAGTACCAACCCAATTGTATATGTCATAAAAGTGTTTTATCTCAGCTGTCAATGTTTTCTATGTGCCAATACCTAAAATTAAAGACATTGTGAGTTGTAATTCGGTCTGCTGCAAAAGTTGAGATTCTGAAGAGTGAATGTCAAATTAAAGGCATTCTGATGTCAGTAGATTGTGGTATACTTCAATAAGCAAAACTAGATTTAAGAAAAAAGTAATGATTGATTCAAAACTTTAAATGGGCATTTATTTCAGTAAAAACAATAAAATGAAATAGAAAAATAGTAATGAATGACAATGATTTACCATTCCTATCACAAAACTTCTGTACGTAACTATACATTAAATGATGTAGTAAAATCTTATATTCTAACAATCAGTCAAAGAAATAATTCTAACACACCTAAAGAGAAAGGTGTATCACAAATAATTAACATAGCCAACATGCATATTTTCAATTAATCAAGAAAATGAGTTTGTTTGCAAATCACTTTTCTATACATTCAGACTAGATACAATGTACCTTTGGAAAGTATTGGATGAATTCTTCTTCTCAAATTTTATTTTGATCTTACTTGACTCAAAAATAAAAGACTTCTTACTTAGGAACTTCTTGAACTCCAGACTCCAAAAGATTTTCTTCTAGATCAATCTTGCTTTTTCCAAGTAAATCTGTTTCTAGAGGTTTGGATGCATTTTCCACCTTGGACAACTCCTCATCCAGATTCTCATCATCTAGAACAGCATCTGTACAATTCAGACAGAATGAAAGTAGAACAAGGGAAAAACTGGATACAATAAATACAGAACAGACCGACCACTCTGAATATACCTGAGTCTTTATCATCCAATTCTCCTATAAATTCGAAACCATTTTTTTGATCTGGGTTGTGGACATTTTCATACTTTAATTCATCACCTGATAAAATAAGTAAAAAGAATAATCTATCTTATACAAAAACAAGCATAACCATATACACTACACCACAAAAAAAAAGTGGTGAGTAGTAACATGGGAGTTGTAGAATGTCTGACATACCTTCTGATTCATCATAGTGGCTGAGATGCCACCATGAGAGAGAAAACATCAAGAGAATGAATAGCAAGTTGGAACTTATTCCGACTGCAGCCGACAAAATTGGCCAATGAAACATTAGATAACGTAGACCAGTCAAATGAGCATGAATCAACATAGTAGCTGAGTACAGTTCCACAAACCGTGTTTGAATCTCAACTTTAACATCAGTCACAGGCTGATTCTAGAACAATAAAAATAATATCTTCAGAAACATATAACATCGGTAAACAAATCCCTACAAAGGTAATTAACTACTTACCTGATCTTCCTCAAAGTCAGAGAATAACTCAACAAGGACACTTTGTTTTTCTTCCGTTTGTCCAAGAACCATGAAAGGAGAAAAAGTGATTGTTGATAGGGTCTCTAACAGCGGGCTGCGATAATGCAGCATAGCTGAGCGACACGCTTTATTAACCTCAACTCCACTGCGAACTCGAAGACTTGCACAGACCATAAACATACCTGAATTTTTAATCACAAAATTGAGATAAAAATTAGGCTAAGAGTTGGAAGTTGAAAAAATCACAAATTAAATGGAGGAACACAAACCAAGGTCTTTATTTCTTGGTGATTCTGGCATTTCTAATTGGATGTATATTTTATATGGTTGGCCCACCATAAGGAGTTGATGACGTTTTGTAAGACGCACATCCGCAGTAGGAAAACTGCAAAGTCCTTTTCCATCGCTACAAGCTCTGAACCAATGAAGTGCAATGTGTGAATTAATAGAGGCATAATAACTCTTGATAAATATAAAGAGTTTGATACATACTCAAACTGAACGTGAATAGGTCGAACATGAGAAATTGAAGGCATGTAAGCATAGTAAAATGCAATGTACAAGAATATTGAAATCCAGATTATCATTGCAGTGAGAAGTCCAACCAAACCTCCACGAAATGATAAGAGTCGGACATTCTCCACTCCTTTTTGAACTCCATCCTCTGCTTTTTGGCGATAATGTAAGACATTTTTTCTGACGGTTCCAACAAAGGGAAGACTCCTACATATTCGGCTTACAATCCAGAACATTGTTAGATAGTTTCACTGAAACTATAAAGAAACTAAGACACAATAAGATTAGTGATGATGAATGACACTTCCCAAAACATGTTGTGTATAAACTAAAACAAACAGCTTACTGTGCTATGTTGTTGATGTAGGTTAAGTCCTCCCCGTCACGACGGCCAGGTCAGAGACCACTTGTTGAACGAATGCAAGGAACCATACGAAACGGAACTTTGATAAGCCGACGAACAAGATAAGGAGTCTGTACGGTCGTTCAACGGTGTGGCCGGGGATCAAAAGTCAATCTGGATCGCTCCTGGCATAAAAGTTTGGCGTGACATTTCACACGAACTAGTTTTGTCGGTTTGTCTCAGGCTAGATTACTCAAACAAGCTGGGCAGAATCTTTGTTGTTCCCTTGCAGGAGACGAGGGCGAATAAACGCCCGGATTGGCTATTGTCAGGAAGATCAGT